GAAGTTTTTTAACCATTTGTTACAGATCAGTAAATACATTTTGTCCTCATGGGCTCCCATAAATGGAAACATAGCATCTAATATGGCATCGCCCAGAGACTTAGACCCACTCCCTTGTATTTTAGACCTTATTTACATGGTTATATGTTACAAAGCCGCCAATATTTTTCAACAACTGGAAATCATTTCATTCATTATCAACAACATTTTGATGGATATTTCCATAAATTAATGGTCAAAACATTGTCTCTTTAAAGATATTGGCCAGACTGCATGAAATTGTAGAAATTCAGTTTAACCACACTTTGCCATATAATAAAAATGTTGTTTGATTTTTCAGTTTGTCCTGCATGAATTATTAGAGAAAATCAAAATTATGTCCTCTAAACTGTTTTACTGTGTTGCGCAAATGTCACTCAAAAGCCCTTTTTAGAACAAACACCATGCCAGCAAATCAGCGTAATACTGCCGCCACGGTGTGCATGTTACACCTTGGAGCAACAAAGAGTGGTGTCATTGATCACACGCAGAGTTATTGCTGAGCTCCAGCAGGAAACTATTTAAAAAAAGAAAGTAAACACGTTCAGTAAGCGTCACTTTTTGAGCAGAACGAACTGAGATGGTAAACTGGAGCGATGCAGAGCTCCAGAAGCTTCTCGCTGTTAGATCATCTGAGAGTTCACTGGGACTGTGGAGGAGAGACACCTTTAGGAGCGGCTTGTGAAATAAAAGTTATGAGCATGGCTTTGATCGCAACCAAAAATTCAAGTTATGTGCAAGAAGAACGGAAGTCAGCAGCAACGTAGAGACCGCCCCAATGGCTCTTTTATACCGCCATCCCATAATCATCGGAAAAAGGACACGATTGCACCACATTACCACCACGGTCTGACCACTTATAAACAACAGAAGGTTCCTAGATGCTGACTCAACATTGCGGCAAATTGGCGGCAGCATTTAATAAAAGAGGCCCATTGACCTTGAACATGAACAAAACAAAGGAGATGATTTTAGACTTCAGAAGAAACAGGGTGGAGTCAAACACTGTTTCCATCATGGGAGAAGAAGTGGAGGTGGTTGAGGAATACAAATACCTTGGAGTTCACCTGGACAACAGACTGGACTGGAGACAGAACAGCGAAGCCGTTTACAAGAAGGGACACAGCAGACTGCACTTCTTGAGGACGCTTAGGTCCTTCAATGTATGTAGCAAGATGCTGCAGATCTTCTACAAGTCTGTTGTTGAGAGTGTAATCTCTTCAGCCATCGTCTGTTGGGGTAGCAGCATCAGAAGCAGGGACCTGAAAAGGCTCAACAGCCTAATAAAAAAGGCTGGTTCTGTTCTGGGGACGACCGTGGAACCGCTGGAGGAGATGATGCAAAGAAGGATTCTCCAGAGAATCAAGAACATGATGGACAACCCTGAGCATTCTCTTCACAAGACTGTCCGACAACGGAAGAGTGTCTTCAGTCAGAGGCTTCTTCAGTTTGGCTGCAACACTGACCGCTACTGGAGATCCTTCCTGCCAACAGCCATTGTAATATACAACAACTCTTTGATGACTTGATTATTATTATTATTCTGAGCTACTACAGCAATCAGTTTCCCTCTGGGATTAATAAAGTATTTTTGAATTTGAATTTGAATTTGAATTTGAATGTCTTACAGGGCAGCAGCTGCTGTGAGTACGTCGTGATTAGTTGTATTTTGTTCAACTTTGTGCTCTCAATGGTTATGGAAACTTGTGTTTACAGGTGCAGCAAAAACTCTGAGCCATATGTTCGAGTCCTACACGCATTTCTAACCAACGTAGCAACATTACAGTCATGGGAACTGACTGTGAGCATTGCAGGATCGTAGTGAGCTGGGAGCATCACTGGGCAGCACGGCTAACCGTGTTAGCTCCATTAATGAAAAAGAAGGAAATTGTGAAAGCAATGACACGCTCAAAGGTTGAATCTAAAAGATGATCGACATATTTCAATAATTTATCCACCTGACGCTGGCTTTGCTGCAGCGTTGGCTGGCTTGACCGCATATTTTCAATTTTTAGCTCAGAACACGATCCATCTTGGATTACTAGCGGCAACAGCCGAACCAGTGAGTAGCTTCAGGAAAACTCCAATCAGGAAGAGAAGTTATTCTGGTAAGCTATTGGTTAATATTTTTCTGGAGTAATATCAATATGTACATGCAGTGATAAAACTGGCAGCATATTGTTTTATTTTTCTGTAGATTGATGAATCACTGCACAGCCTGATGCAGCTAGCAGAGCTAGCTGCTATGTGAACCCATCGACCAGCACAGAGGTAAAACATGTGCACAGTAAAAGTACATAAACTGTACCGACTTTCATTCTGAAGATGCTCTCTATTAGGGATGTGAATCTTAGAGCAACTCACGATTTGATCCGATTCCGATTCTTGGGGTGCCGATTCGATTCTCAATTTAAATCGATTCACACTCAGTATTAACAAAGAGTGTCAGCTCCAGGATGAACTACTTTGTTGTAGAAGTTAGTTAAAGCTATGGGACATTTTAATTTGACTTTAAACTGGTCGTGCTCCAAAAATGCAAATCTACAATGTAAAATAAAGTGATTCTAAAACTGTAAACAGAAGCAATCTTTTGACCAAACGGCAACATTTATTTTTGCTTACCTTGTAAAATATAACAAATCTGTAGTTACCTAACAGTGGCTTTGAAAATAATGCAGTCAAATACTTTTCAAGTATGTGTAGAAACAAGTTACATGAGTAATCCTGAGTACTCATTCACCAACTTAGAAAATAAATATGAGAATATCTCAAATTTCTGAGTATGGAACAAATGACATTCAAGTGCCCTCTTATCAGCAGATTCAAACATAAATCATCTCAATTTATGGGACCACAAAAGTAAACGTAGTACTGACTCTCCTAACAAAGATCAAAAAAGTGCATCTCAAACCTGTAACATGCCAAATATTTGAGTTCTTGGAATCGATTCTGAACCTTTGTGAATCGATTCTGAATCTTTATAAATAAGAATCCCGATTCAGACTTGAATCGATTTTTTTCAGCACCTCTACTCTCTATCCTTCCATGTCGGCTTTGCCATCAGCATCCATATCAATCTGCATGTTGTCTGAGTCCTGAACATGTCCACCTGTGCATTCATCTCATCGGCTAACTGGCTCGTGGCTCATCTGAGTCAAACAGTCTGAGGGACCCAGCTGCATCCCTCTGGCTCGCCGATATCTGTTCTCCTCGTAGTAATCCAGAGAAATAAACTCTGACCGACTAGCAGAGATTTTAAAAGCTACATCTGACTGACGAACATTGTTAATGCAGAAACACCGAAGTTAGGGATTGTTTACGCTAGCTGTTATAGCTGCCGGAAACCAAGCCCTGAAACTATTCTCTGTTTTTGCTGCCCTATTTAAGAACATCAGATTTTTTTAAAATCCGGCTGTGGAAATCCAAAAACCTTTTACAGCTGAGGTTTTAATGCTTTTTACGCATGCCATTCAAAGGAAATGTGCCTCTGGTCAATATCTTTAAGTCTCTAATGGGGAGCCAAATGCTGCTTTGGCCTCCTCTGGTCTGGACCGGTCTGGATGGCATCGCTCCGGGTCCCGCGCCCGTAGGGTTTGTTCACACACACTTCTCAGGAATGTGTAATCTCTGAGCAAGTGGGCGGAGCAAAAGACACCAGGAGAAGTCTGCAGTGCACCTTAATATAAAAAAGGTGGCGAGCAGTGTTGCCCCCAACACACACACAAACACACATGCACAGCAAGGCCTGATTTATAATTCTCTTTGAGCTCTGCAACAGAGAGATGCACACGGCGTGTCGGAAAGATTTTCACATTCGGCAGCGGTGTGTTGCAAAGCAATTCCCCGCCAGGACACTAGAGGGCGTAGCGCTGTATCCTGCCACCATTACACTCCGGTCCGGATAGTGTATAATGTGTTTATTTATTTCAGACTTTATAACACAGACAAATTTGTCCTTCGTTCTCCTCCACCTTTTCATGTGGTCGCCACCTCTACACCCACATTTTCCATCGTTTCCGTCCACGTTTGCTCCGTATTTTGTACGCTTTCAGTCACAGGTGAATAAATGTTCATATTTTCGTACTTTTTCCACGACACGTTCTTCAATCTGTTGTGGGTCTGCCGCTAAATATCTGTTTAATTTTTAACAGAGCTACAGTGATGCTGGTGACGGATATACAGGAAGCGGCATCCTGACCAATCACAAGCTTGTGGTCTCCATCACTTTCGACAGATGTTTAAATTTCTGGACATGCCTCCGTCACCCTCTGTGAGCCTGTCGGAGAGCCCTCGCGCCGACGCATAATGGCGTTGCGTGTCTCTGCACCAACGCAGACGGAGAAGTATAAATCAGACCTCACTGACATCTGCACTGTTTAAAAATGGACTCCACAATTATCGACTTCCGTATTATTGAGGTTCTTTGTAAAATGTTTTTTTCCTATTTTTATTCACCCTGTGTCTTATTGATTTTTAGCTGTTATTTTTGGGAATTTTGTTGTATTTCCTTTTAATCTTTTATCTGTGTTCGACATGTTTATATAACGCCTGTTTAATTAACCAACATTTTTAGTGTACAGCGCCTTGTTTGGTTGTAATACCTTGTGAATGTGCTTTATAAATAAAATTGGAATGGATTGGATTGGATTAAGTCATGAAGTCGTCCCTGAAAACCAGCTAATCAGGACTGAGCTCATTTAATAAGCATGTCTTGGCCGAGTGGGTGGGACAATCCAGTCTTTCCATTAAGGCTTTATTATGGGGTCAAGGTTTGTGCCCAAGTCATTTTAACACAAAGTTTCATATAGAGGCCCAAGAACAATTTCAATTTGTAAATAGCATTTCTCTGGGGCACCTTTAAAATATCTTTGCCCCTCTTCTCCCAGCCCTTCCATTTTATTCAAGATCCGCCACTGCTCCTCCTCCTCCGCCTCCCCGTCCTCTCTCCAGTCTGGTCCTCCCTCCTGTCTCTCCCCCTTCCTCCGGTCGGGTTTTTCCGCCTGTCTCTCCTCCCTCCACCGGTCTGGTCCTCCCTCCTGTCTCTCCCCCTTCCTCCGGTCGGGTTTTTCCGCCTGTCTCTCCTCCCTCCACCGGTCTGGTCCTCCTCTGCAGGCCTGCCGCTCTCTGCAGCAGAGAGGGACCGCGTGACGTCAGAAGCGGCTACAGCGGCTCGTTGATTGGAGCAGAGAAAAACGGGGAGAAGGTTGTGAGGTGAGTGAGATGCACGTTTCTTCCTCCTGTTTTTTAATTCCTGCCTTTAATGCTGCGTCTCGAGGCCGCCGCTGCTTTTAGTCTGTCGGTTGGATCTGGACGTCGGGCGTCCGGTCCAACGGTGAGCCGGAGCCTCTGGAGAGAATCGGGAACATGCCAGGTTGTCGCACCCCTCCTCTTTTATTTTTTAATTCTTTCACTTCTCCTCTCGGGAAAACACAACTGCTGCCTTCAGCGTGGGCGTGAATGAAGCTGCTCCCGGCCTGTTTATCATAGCAGCCTTTCATAGCTGTAGTTGTGGTGATGCTGCTGGTCCACACCCACATGATAAGCTGCTCGTGATTGATCCATGTGCAGGAACGATCATCCTGATTATTATTATGACTGATTATTATCAATATCATTATTATTATTGGACTGCATGTGTCTGTCAGGAGGAAATCCTGGTCTGTCTTGGCCTGCGTGGGTCTGAGCTGGACTTGCATCTGTATGGAAACATAAATGTGTTGTACATTGTGTGCAAAACAAATAACACTGCACGGAATTAACTAACATGGATGTTTTAGTGGCCAGATCAGTTATTATTATTATTAATAATAATGAGGGTTTATAGTTCATCCAAGCTTTCTTACTCAGGTAAGGGAAAAACAACATGACGGTGTGGTATTCTACCAGCATTCCCACGGGACTCCTCACACTGTCCCAGTGAGCTTTTGCTCCACTGCTGAGGTAACAAACAGCTGAGCTGCTGGTGTGAATCTTTGCCTTACTCTGCTGAGGCATTTGTGAAAACCAGATTTTGCAGAAGTTGGTAGCGGTCATGCTGAAACCAAAGCTGCAAAATACAAACATTTTTTTCAGAAATCAGATTAGATCTTTACCTTAGAAGACAAAATAACTTTTTGTCTGCACTTTTCTTCATGAAAGATTATGTTCTGCAATGCTGCAGAACAGGCATGCATGCAGAAGTGTGCAGAACCCCATCATCACGGGTCTAGAGTGATTCTGTGATGGCTCTGTTGGAGCAGTCATGTAAACACCAGTGCAGGTAGAGCTAGATATGTCTTTTAATCTGGTTGACACTTGTCTCTCTGGATGTGCTGATTCCCAACCCAGATTGTGATGAGATCCTGAGTGTTATTGAACATTTGGATCTCATGTTTATTGACAATCAGCTCTAAAGGCAGTGACATCAAAGAGCGTCATCGTCATGCAAACCATTGTGCAACTTTAATTCCTTTACTCTTGTAGCAAGTAGTTCTTGTTTGTGTGTAGATCTCTAAGGGAAGCTGCAGGCCCAGCCATCTGCTTCTGCCTATAAAATGATGTTCATCCAGGCATTGCTAGGAGATTAGGGTGCAGGCTCATTAGTCAGGCCTGGAGGCTCTAGCTTTCATGATATTCGTGACTGTCAGAGATGTAAGAGTTTGTTGCTAATGAGAAATCTTTTGAAACATAGTTTTTTTCAGTGTCATTTTTATTAAGGGGTCATATGGGGTACATTTGTGCAGTCAGTATCCTAACCGCAGGTCAGAGTGGTCTCAGACTGAACTATCGGGAACACATGTTCATGGAAATCAAGCTAATGTCTACTCAGAAAAGAGAATGCAGCGAAAACCAAAGTCTTGATTATCGTATTGTAGCAACATCAACAAAGCTTGGCTGATAAATGAAGTGACAACATACACAGCTGTTTTTGGTTTTTTATTACTTCTTTACAAAACTGACAGTAAATAGGAATGCTTGGAAACTTTGAATTTGAGTTCTTGAAGACGCCAGAATTTTCCTTAATCCTAGATTGTGCTGCTTGCTATCTAGGTAAGAAACTCACTGCTTCCAAATACTGCTCTCAACTGTACCTAAAACACTGTCCATCCCTGTTATTCTGCCACAGCTCAGTACTGCAGAAGTACGGATTACTCACTCATCTACTTTTGAATATTATTCCTTTACATTTTCTGTACTACAGGGTACATTTTAGGACATCCTCAGGTGTCAGGCATTAGACCATGGAGAAAAAAAAACGTCAGTTTTCATTCAAAAACCTATCAGACATATGATCTGATTAAATAGCATCAGACCAAAAGGTCTCAGAAAAGCTTTTGTCAGAAAAAAACGTCTCAGGAAAGAGTCTGTTAGCCTAAAACGTCTCAGGAAAAAAATATTTCAGACTAAAAGGTCACAGGAAAAAGTTTGTCGGACTTAAAGATCCCACAATAAAAACTGTCAGACTAAAAGGCCTCAGACTGAAATGTCTCAGGAAATATCGCCACCAGACAAAAAGATCTTATGAAAATGACTGATAGTTTAAAAAGTCGTCAGATACAGCCAGAATGTGGACACGAGGCACACCAGCCGTTTTAAAATCATCTCCTCTTCAGATGTTGACTGTGGAAACTTCTCCGGTTCCTGTTTGTGGCTTAAACACAAATATATATATACATATATATATACATATATATATGTATATATATATATATATATATATATATATATATATATATATATATATATATACATATATATACATATATATATGTATATATATGTATATATATATATATATATATATATATATATATACATATATATATATATATATATATATATATATATATATATATATATGTATATATATATATATATATTGCTGTTAGCTTGATGTTCTTTCAAAAAATATTGGTTATGTTGGGTTGGGTGAGAAATGTTAGACTTGCAGAGATTCAGAAAATGAACATTCTCTTGTTGAGTGCAACACCAGTTTATTTTCAGTCGTGTGAGCTTCTATTTAACTATCTTTTTTGTGTTGTACAGTAGGTATGCAGGTTTCTTCCGTGTTTATAAAATCAAAGCAGGGATCAGGGAACTGTCCGTTGGTGGGACCCTCCTCCGGGACGGCTTTCTGGATCGATAGAAGACAGAGATCAGGCCCGTCTATCTGCTCAGACTCATGAATGACTTATTCCATCTCAAATCAGACAAGGTTCGACCCATCTCACAGACATCTGGGCTTTTATTTTTAGTTTAATTGCTTTAACTTGCTCTCAAAGTTGCTGCTTGTTGTGAGCAGGATGTGTGTGTAAAATAACTTTTACTAAGCTTTTTATTTGCACACTTGTGTTATTTTTTATTTTATTTTATTTTTTACCTTAAGCAAATCTATGACACAGATGGGACTGAAGTAAAGCAGTTGCACTGTAAACATTCAGATAAAATATTGTAAAAAGTTCAGTCTGTGGAGCTCAAAATGAGCTCAAATCACAATTTTCTGTTGGCTTCAAGTATGGAGGCAAACAGAAACGCATCTTAATGAATCGCATAATAAATAGAATAATACATGCTAATGCTAACAAATTGGGACTTGCAATTATGGGAAAAATTCTAGAACTCTTTTTATTTAATCGTGAATATCAATAATTATTTTTCCTGTTTTTGTCTGTAAAAACAGGGGGTGACAGCGCCCACCTCTGCTAAACCATTTCACTCTTAAACTAGAAACAAATATAGCTACATATTTACCACTGTTACTCTTTAAGCTGGGAAACAAAGCATTCACATTTTAATTAGACATTTACGTCTGCAGGTGGCAGAGTAGAGCTGCTTAGCTGTGATTAAAAAGTTCTTATAGTTTTTATTATGACACCAAAAGGAACATAAAATATGAGCGAAATACATATATCCAATAAACAACCAAACCAACTAAGAACTGTAAATCACTGTTGAAACAAACAAAGCACAAACTCACTTACTGTACACAGTCAGTGTGTTTTGCCTTCGTTCGGCCACCTCCACTTGAACACCACAAGGCTTAGATGTTCAGAAGGAGAAGACAGCATCGTTAGAGGGCGAGGTTAAATAAGGACATGCCAGCATAGCAGAACGTGACAAAATACTTTATTAATAATCACTTCTGCTGTGGATTGTTTGGAGCTGAAATCAAAAGTAAAATACAAAGTTGATCACTTGCACAAATCAACAATGACATAAGTTCGTTACCATCTACACCTTGTCACAGCCATAACCAGCTCCGTGCTCTCACTACTCTTGTTAAATGGTAATAATAAGTAGCCTGTATTTGCATCGTTACTTCTTAGGGTTCTACGACCCCCCCAAGGTGCTTTACAACACAATCAGACATTCAGTGCGTTTACATGCAGCCAGTAACCCTTTTAAAACCCGAATATTCACAATAACCCGGTTCCGCTGGTCCATGTAAACACAGCCAAAAACCCGGATACGCTCATAACCGGGTTTTTAAAAACCCGGTTACTACACCTGGGGTAACCCTTTTCTAACCCGAATGTTTGGTCGTGTAAACGCATACCGGGATATCCCCATCAAAGCGTGTGTTCTGCACATGCTCTGTTCGCAAGGAATCTTGGTCTTTTGAGTAGCGAGACGTCTTGTATGCGCCAGAACACCGGAAGTAAACAACAAGTTGGGAGCAACATGGCGAGTCGCGGCACAGCACCACACTTTTGGAGTGACGAGGAAACTAAAGCGCAAACAAACGCGGTCGCTATCTCTTCCGAACTGGGAAACATGTTGTTGTTTTCACGGATACCGGAACGAGAAGAACCGGAAATGACGCATATTGCATCTTGACGTAGTCCATACGTCCTGACGCTACCCCAACGTCCGCATTTAAATCGGGTTATGCAAGTTAGGGGTAACTCTTTCTATTTATGCTTGTAAACGGGTTATTCTGATCAACTCAGTAACCCGAATACCGACCTTAACCCGATCATAACCCGGATATTGGCTGCATGTAAACGTAGTCATTCACACGCTGGTGGGGATGAGCTACACTGCAATCACATCTGCCCTGGGGCGCACTGACAGAGGCGATGCTTGCCATACGCCGGCACCTCTGACCAGCTTCAGGCAAGGCGGGTTAAGTCTCTTGCCCAAGGACACAACAGCAGCATTCTTTGGTCGGAGCTGGGATGGAACCTGCAACCTTTCGATTACTGGACAACCCGCTCTGTGTTTAGAGTTTT